ATTGAATTGGTGATGCCTCAGACAAGCTAAGTCTTGGGAAAGACCTTAATTTAGAAAGGCCAAGGACATCCACTGCATTCTGGGCCATCACCAGTCATCCTGATTTTTGTCTTGTCACTGGACTTTGAGCACTCTGGAAGAAAGAGTGAGGCTGACAACTTTGTGCAGCTCTGCCTCACTTAAATCCAATTTTTCCACAAGTCAATACATCCTCCTTGTGATGTCGTTGGTCCTTTTTGAGAAGGAAGGATGAATAATAACAATGTTTTTAATGCATAAAATAAAATACAGAGAATTACAAAGGAAAATAATGATACTGAAACTCACAAAAATAATTTTGAAAGTAAGTTCTCAGGTTAAGAACCCTTTTAGAGGGTTACCTATGCAGCACTGACAGGTTAATTGACTTGCCAATGGTTATGTGTATATATATGTATCAGAGATAGAAGTTGAATCCCTATCTTCTGGGCTGTGGGAAGACCTCTCACCACCTAGCACACCCTACTTTGCCTTCCCCCTTCACACCCTCCATTAGCCCCAAGCTATCCCAGAACACAGATATTGGGAAGGAAGTGGAAGAGGCTATTTCTAGGCATAATCCTTACTCGCAAGGAGCTAATGTTCTATGTTTTACTGATTGGAAACATTAGATACACAGACAAGTAAATGCAAATTATACAGAAATTAAATTAAACAAGTGAACTACTAGAAATATGTAAATATCAAGATTTTTCATGCCTACTGGATGAATTTTGCACTATACTTTTCTTCCTCAAGTCTTTCTCCTTTTTTCCACACCTTATCCCACCTCACCACTCCCCACTTAACCGTACCGTAACTCTAAAAAGGCTTCTGCTGTGTTTGAAGGCATCTATCATATCCAGATGCTCTCTCAAGGATGTGTCTATGCATAATGAAAACTCAGATTTTTTTTTCCTGAGTCAGTTTTGGGGACAGTCACAGCCAGAACATCTTCATAGGTAAGTAAAGAATTTTGTTAGTAGGTTCCTCATCTGTACTCAGCAAAAAAGGACTGCCAATAGGCCCATTTTGCTAACCTCTGGGTTATCTGCAGTGCCACCTAAGGTGTTCAGGCTTAAATCTGAGACCTACACAGTCCTTTTGTATGAGTTGACCTGTTCTACATCTGCATGTCATGCCATTCAGTGACTTTTGTCACTATTCAGTCTGGTGGCAAATCAATAAGCATTTATTAAGCACTTAATAGATGACAAGCATGGTGCTAAACACTGAGGATATAAGTAGAAGCCAAAAGAAAGATAATCCCAACCCTACAGGAGCTTACATTTGAAGAGAAAAAACTACAAATAAAAGGAAGCAGTAAAGGGGATGGGGGCGGGGGGTGTGAATATGCCAGGTCTGGGGGCCATCCTTAAAATAAAGGTGTTAAGAGGAAAACAAATCAGAGAAGCTCCCCAACCCCACTGCAGTGGCAGAGGAGTCTTTCAGAGTGGGAAGACTGCTGAATGGTGAGGCATGATGGAAAAAGAAATCTGGAAAATCAAGAGTGAGGCCTGCAGAGGAATGAAGGAGGGAAGGAAGAATGAAAGTAGCAATTGCAGGACCCTAGACCACAATAGGAGGGGGGAAATGATCAAGCTGTTTTGATTTTTGTAACATAAAAATATTAAGGTTTTTGATGTTTCAAGACGCAGCCCAGGGGCAGCTAGGTGGTGCAGTGGATAGAGCTCCAGCCTTGGAGTCAGGAGGACCTGAGTTCAAATCCAGCCTCAGACACTTGACACTTAGTAGATATGTGACCTTGGGCAAGTCATATAACCCTGATTACCTCACCAAAAAAAAAAAAAAAGAAGCAGCAGCCCCTGAATCACTAACCCTATCTTTTTTTTATGCTTGCTAATTTTTTTTAATTATTTGGACACAGCCTCAAATTATCAGTCTACTTCATCCTTAAGTATCTTGTAGGATATATTGGGTAAATATCCCTCATACTGCCACCAGAAATTCTCAGAGCTTGTCCAGGAACTCTGAAACAGTCAAGACTCTCCTAATCTGGCCTGTAAAAGGTGCTGCAGATCATAGGCCAAACAACTCCCTCTGGTACTCAGACTTAACTTGAGGAGAATTTATGTCCTTCAAACCCTAAGAATTAAATGAACTTTAAAAGCCAACATCCCAGGGGCAGCTAGGTGGTACAGTGGATAGAGTTCAGGCCTTGGAGTCAGGAGGACCTCTGAGTTCAAATCCAGCCTCAGACACTTGATACTTACTAGCTGTGTGATTGTGGGCAAGTCACTTAACCCCATTGCCTAGTCAAAAAAAAGAGAGAGGAAAAAAAAGGAACATCCCCATTTACTGAAGAGATGTTTCCCCTTGCAGTTTTATTTTCCCCAGACTGATTTTTTATTTTGAAACAATTCTCTTTTTTTAAGAGCAACATTCTAATTTTTTTTTATTTTACTTATTTTCCCCCCAAGGAAATATTTCCCCCCAATTACATGTTAAAACAATTTTATTTTGAAATAATTCTTCAAACACATATAACATTCAGATAAAATATTTGTAAGACTCCAGTTTGGGTTAATTAGAGATTGGAGCAAAAGCAGGAAAGGTACATGATGAGAAGCGTCTCAATTTTTAAAAAATGGCATTTGGGAATGTGAGCAGGAGAAAACATTACAGAGTATTGTAGAAGGGTGATGGTAAGTATTCTGCAGGATCCCCATTTTTCTTCTTATAGCAAGTTCCAGAGTTTGGCTTCCTTGTGTCTCCAACTTTCTCATTGCCACTGCCTCTCCTGTTACGATGGGTTCCTCTCCATCCAGCTTTGCCCATTGAGGCTACTAGATGTCTCATGTGGGAACCATCACCCCAGAAACAGAAGCAACAACGTCTTGGTCTTCATCTCCCCCACAATGTGGTATTAGCCTCCCTCCCCCACCCTCCCACTCCCACACACAATTGAGGGTGCCTTTTATGCCACTGATCTTGGTTTCAGGTGCTTACCCTGGGCACGAAAAAAATTTATTTACAACTCTTGGAGAAGTAATTTATTAGAATTCTAATGCAGAAGATAATTATTTTTAAAACAATAAAAATTTAAAAGAGCATCCCTCCCTACTAACCACTTCTACAGCTACCTCAATAAGAGTCATATTGTGACAGGAATAGAGTGGAGGAAAGAATAAAAACAAAACATCAGTCCTTCTTAGCTTCATATTTTCTGTGACATATTTGGATAAGAATTAATCACTAATCCTTATTCATTTGTTTGTTTATGAAACAGTTGTTTTATTTATGTTTATGTATTGTGTAACAATATGAGTGGTAAGTTCAATTGTAAAGGGACATAGACTGTATCTCTTTAGCCCACGGGTGGGAAACCATCGGCCTTGAGGCCACATGTGGCCACAAATCTGGTTGTTCTGTGAAGTTTGGATTCAGTCAAAAGTCAACACTTGAGGACCTAGAGCGCCACATGTGGCCTCAAGGCTGCAGGTTCCTTACCCCTGCTTGAGCTTCTTCTCACACTCCTCTCCAAGAGAAACTTTCATTCCTGCTGGAAGGGAAAGCATAAGGTTCCCTGCAGAGGTCCCCACTCTGCTCTCCTTAGAGAGAGGAAGTACTGATGTCTAACTACTCCTTTAAATATTGTTCATCTAAGGAATACAATAGGGTTCAAGCTAACTTCAGATCACTTTGTCATTTTGGTATAAGGAGAATACCAAGCTCCACATCCAGAGCCTCACACCTTTCCCACCTAATACCGGTTCCATAATGAATACCCAGCAAATAGCAAAGAAGCCCATTTATCCAAATTGCAGCAAAACAGAAATCACATAGGAGAATATGTACCAGACAATACAGAGTGAAGCAGCTCTCCCATTGTGAGCAAGAAAACTCAGCCCAACCCAGAGAAAGAGTTCTTAATCTTGAACCCAAGAGAAAACCACTAAAGTCTCCAGTTTTAGCAGTGATTGAGACTTCTAGCACCCCGTGTCTTCCCAGAGTCTTTTCCTTCAGCAACCTGAAGTGGGATTGACTTCTTCCACCTCTGCTCTGGAAGCTAGAAGCCAGAAGTTCCAGAAGTGACCTGACATATGAAGAGTCTTGAAGAAGACTGGCATTCCAAAAATCCCAGAGGGGATTGACTGACCCTGAGGAGTCTTAAAGAGGGACTCCAAATGGAACTCTTTTTTGAATACTGCCTTTACTGGGTAAGAACTAAAGCTCTCGCCTCCCCCCAGCTTTGCCTCATTCCTCCCAAAGGTCAGGGCATTCATCTCCACCAATAAGGAAAGAGTCTCATGACTATGAGCTTTGGGACAAGGGCGGTACACACCATGTTGGCTCAGCTCAATTTTTCTGTTTCAAAAATGGGACCACGGTAATTTGAGTAGATCCAGTTACGACAGTGAGTATTTATCAAGAACATACTAATGCCCTGCACTGTGTTACAGACTATAGGGAATTCAATTTCAAAAGGCTTACAAATCTTTTTATGGAGGGAGAACAAAAGAATAATCCAAAACAACCTGGAGGATCACAGATTTAGAATGGAAAGAGACCTTCAAGGTCATTTAGTCATGGGCTCATAAATATAGTGCTCAAAGAACTCTTACAAGCCATCTAGTTTCTCATTTAAAAGATGAGTGTCTCACTTTAAAGAAAGTGAAGCCCAGTAAACGCAAATGACTTGCTCAAGTTCATATGGATAATAACAGAGGTTTTCCAAGTGGTACAATGGATGGAGTGCTGGATCTGAAGTCAGGAAGACCTGAATTCAAGCCTAGCCTCAGACGCTTAGTAGCTGTGTGACTCTAGGCAAGTCACTTAACTTTTGCCTGCCTCAGTTTCTTCAACTGTAAAATGGGGATAATAATAACACCTACCTCCCAGGATTGTTGTGAGAATCAAACTAAATAACTTATAAAGTATTTAGCATAGTGCCTGGCATATAGTAGGCTCTTATTTGATATTTGTTCCCTTCCCTCCCCCCCCACTATAAATTGGCTGGGTTTTTGTCTACTATTCCATGTCCCCTCAAACAAATATAAAACAAATTTTTATATACTAATGCAAGAAAATTTTTTGAAATGAGGTCAAAATCACCAACTGAGGTGAAAAGACTGCAAAAGGAGATAGACCTTGAAGGAAGCTTTAAATTTAAATAGGTAGAGGCTGAAAAAGGGTAAAACAATATCAACAAAAATGATAGTGGTGAATATAGGTAACAGTGAAGAGATATTCCTGGCTAGAATGGAAGGACTGTGCTGATGTCTCTAGAGCAGGCTTCTTAAACTTTTTCCACTCTCATTTTGGCAGCATTCTCTAGTGGCCTGAGGGCATGCACAGCACCAAGTACACATGGTTGGTGTTCAGAACCAAGGCTGCAGTGAAGTTGCATGATACAACACAGGCAGACTCATCGAAAACTCATTACGTGTTCGGTTTTTAATTAATTTTTGGGTGTTGCGTGTTGAGAAACCTTTTAATGTTGCCAGATTTTTGTGACCCCATATGGGGTTGTGACCCACAGTTTAAGAAGTGCTGTACCTGAAAGATGAGATTGGATCCCAGGTGGGACTCATCTACACTTTTTTTTTCAATGTGAGATTCTCAAAAGATTTCACCTTGACAGAGTCAGTCATAGCCAAAGTAAATGAGGCTCACTTCAATGCCACTTTAAATAAAAATGCCACTCTCAAAATTTTCTCTCAGCTTGGAGCAAACAATAGGCCAGTCATGGTACAAACCCTTGGCTGGTTGCCCTGGGAGTTCTGCCAAAGGTCCTTGCAATCATCTTCAATGGGCCATTTATTTTATGGTTCCTTGAAGGTCTTGCCTGAAAGCACATTCTTTATTCACATCCACAAGGGGGGTCCTTTGTGATAACTTCCTCACCCTTTAGTGTCTGTTATTTCACAGTTTTCTCCAAGGAAAAGATATGCACAATTTCAAGGATATTGTGGTGGTATGATGTCACCATGAATGGAGACCTGGTTATGACTTTTATTGAGGAGCCATCAGCATGAACGCTACTTAAAAATCTTTAGAATCAGAATGCACACATTTGGATCAGTGTCCAACATTGAATACACACACAAAAAGTTAAACAAATGCACTTTGCATCCTCCAATGTATATAAAAGAAAAGGCCAGGCATAGTACTTCAGCCAGAAATAATAAAAGTTAATTATCTTGTCTACATTTTTTAATTTCACCAATCCAGAGATGATGTCTCCCTGGGAAGAAAAAACAAATCCTTTAATCTGTCTAGTCAGTGGGATGTTTGAGGAAGTGCCAGCCGATCTTCTCTTCTTTGGCTGCTGTGGTCACCTATAACACCTCCTCCAGCTTGAATACGGAAATGCAGAGAAAAGGAACAAAAACATTGATAGGTAAGTCATTCCTCAGGCAATGAGTCAGTTTTCTGCTGAAAGCAATTAGCAATTACAAGTATTTATTCAGTGAATAAGAGTCGGGCAAAATGAACAGATAGTGATTTAGGATTCAACAGACTGTCACTATTACAACAAAAGAACCATAAGGTTTATCTTCCCTAAGAGAAATAAGATTTTTGAGAACTATAACCAGTTTCAGTTTGGGCTGCTTTCTAGATTTTTATGAAGAACTTAAAAATAACATAATATTCTATTGTTCTAATTTTTATTAACTTTTGGCTTCCCAAGGATGTGCTGATGAATTGAGAGAGCCTTAAAAAGGACAGAAGCCTCTACCCAGCACAGGTCAATAACAGAAGTGAAAGACTCTAGAAACTATAGTCCGGGGCCCTCAGATCAATCCCAAGTCTGACATTTACTGTCTTTGTAAGACCAAAGATAAATCACATGCCTAAAACGAAAAGGTTGGATTGTCTTTTCAGTCCCTAAATCTGCCATTTTGCAATGTCCTCTAGGTGGAGCCTCCAAATCTCTATCTCAGGCATCTTTCTCTTAGCAAGTCAAGTCAATAAACCAGTACCTACCATGTGGCGGACAATATACCTGCAAAGCTCCACCAAATGACTGTGTACTATCTTAATTAAAGCTATAATAAACTTTCAACCAGGTTCTACAACTATTTGCTTCCAATCTACCTTTCTATTTCATTCTTCTATTACTTCCCTGCACAAAAGCAGATTTGTTGTCTTACTATCTCCAGAACATATTCTAGGGAGAGTCAAAGATGCAAAAGTAGCAGGAAGCATTGCTTCAAGTTCTGCCCATCAATCCACCTAAAACAAGCCTTCCTCCAAACAGTTCTAGAAAATGCGCCTGAATCTGACTAAATCTGATAGGGAAACACCCCTCCCCCCAAAAAAAGGTCACTGTGAGTCATTTTTCATGCCTACATTGGCATGCCTACAATCTGAGGGCACTGGGGACAGGGCCTGGCCAGGAACTACTAAGAAGAACTTCAGTATCCAGACCAGGGCACCATGACAAGAATGGGTGCCATTTGGCAACTTAGCCACCCACTACCTCAGTTTCAGGTCACAATGCAAGGAGGGTAGAGGAAGGGACCGGCATCCAGGCATTCTAGGGTAAATAGCATTGTCAGGCTCTAGGCTGTGTCCTGCAAAAGAAGCAAGTTCAAAAGGAAGCAGCAGTGGTATGGCTTAGACCCCAAGAAAAGAGTAGTGTCTCAGTTCCAACTTCAAGCCCCATACGAAGCTTGCAGAGGAATAAGCAGGGCAGAAATCTGAAACCAAAGAAGAGCTGGCAGTGTGTCCCTGGACAGCGAGCTTCCCAGATCACTGATAGTGGCTATGTCCAACTGCAGTCAACTATTGCTTGGATCCAAACCCAAATCAGGAACTTGAAGCACTCAGAACAGGGGGACAGCAATCAGACTTTTCCCCTGGATCCAACCCTTTGAAACACTGAAAACTTGCAATTCACAGCCCCACTCAATTCAACAATAAAACAGCAATAGGAACAGCCCAGATTTTCCTTCCCTCCGGAAGTGTGCAGAGCCATCCCTGGCATCAAATCTGAAGTCAGAAAGTAGACTGGAAGAATGAGCAAACATAGAAAGCATCCCACCATAAAAAGCTGTTGTTTTCAGTGATGCTCTGGGTACAAAAGCAGAAAAAGAAACAAACCAAAAAAACAGCTTGGACACAAATTCAACTAGAAATCTTAGAAGGGATGAAACATATTTTTAAAAAGAGTTTTAAAAAATTTTATGAATGAAATGAGAGTGATAGAATTTTAAAAGTGGAAAAGAAAGGGGAGGTATGAAAGAAATAATTGGAAAGAGAATTTATAGCTTTATCCAAGAGGTTCAAAACCTTGCCCAAGCAAGAAACTCTCTAAAATTTGGAATGGACTAAATAGAAACCATTCACTCCATAAGAAAACAAGAAATATTAAAACAAAGTCAAAAGTCTCAAAAATATAAGAAAATTAAGTTATCTCAAAAGAAAAAAACTAACCTGGAAAACAGATCAAGAGGGAAAAATTAGGACTCATTGGACTTCTTGAATGGTATGACCAAAAACAGAGTTTATATATCTATTTCAAGAAGTCCCAAAAGAAAAATGTCTGAAGAAATTAGATGCAGAGGACAAAATAGAAATAGAAAGGATTCGTTGATCAGTTCTTAAAAGAAACCATCAAATTAAAACTCTAAGAAATATCAGAGTCAAAGTCCAGAGTATCCTGGTAAAAGAAAAATTATGCAGTCAGAAAGGAAGAATTTCAAGTACCAAGGAGCCACAATCAGGATCACATATAGTTCAGTAGCCACCACTATAAAGTATCAGAGCTAAAAATACAATATTTCAGAAGGCAAAGGACATAGGCTTACAACTAAGAATAACTTATCAAGCAAACTCAAATATAATCCTGAAGGGAGAGATAACAAGACAACAAATATGTACAGACAAGCTATATACCAGATAAATAATAAATAAAGGGTGGATAGAGGGCTGACCTTGGAGTCAGGAAAATTGGGGTTTAAGTCATGGCTCTGACACATATTGGTTGTGTGACTTTGGGCAAGACACTTAACCATTCTATGACCCCTATAAGTTTTAAAAGTTCCTAAAGTTCTCATCTGTATTGGTAGAGTTTCCTCACAGGGAGCTCCCTATGCCAAAGAAGGCATACATCATGACCAAAAACAAAATGAAAACACAAAACCAAGCTTATTTTCCATACAAGCAGAAACCGAGGCTTACTCCTTATTTGATATAGGTACACTGCTAACTAATGCATGGAACAGGCACTTCATATATAAAACTTCAACAAAAGATAGAGGTAGAAAGCTCATTAAAAAAAACTACAACATATATAAATATTCGAGAATCTTCCTACCCAGGACCCATAAGAAATATATGAATATGACTACAAAACATTCTTTGAGAAAGTGATCTAAGTAACTAAGGTATTAATTGTCCATGATTAGGCTTCACCAATAGAATAAAAAAAATTATAGTAGCACCTAAATTAATATATTTATTCACTGCCATACCAAACTACCAAAAGTTTACTTTATAGAATTAGAAAAAATGGTAATAATGATAATAATCAGGATTTTTAAAAATCAAGAATCTCAAAGAAAATAGGGAAATAGTGGAGTGGTGCTTAGCAGTACTAGATTCAAACTATACTACAAGTAGTAATTAAAACTATTTAGTACTGGTTAAAAAAAATTAGAAAAGTCAGTTAGGAACAATTAGGTACCAAAAAAGCAAATTAATATAGTCACAAAGTGTGCAATAAACCCAAAGATCTCAACAACTCAGAAAAAAGACTCATTTTTTAAAAAAAATGTTGAGAAAAGGGTAAAGCAGTCTGGCAGAAATTAGGTTTAGAGCAACATCTCACACTGCACAGAAAGATGAGCTCCAAATGGATACATGACCTACATATAAAAAGACCACATCATACACAAATTAGAGGAGCAAATGAAGGAGATATATTTTATAACTATGGATATGGTTCATGGCCAAAGGAGAAGGAAGACCATAAAAAATAAAATTGATAATTTCAACTATATAAAATGTAAAGCCTTCTGCACAAAAAGCAGTTAAAATTAGAAGGAAAAAATTAACTATGAAAAAAAGCTTTGCACCAAGTTTCACTAATAATGGTCTGATATCCAAGATATATAAGGAACTTATCCAACTATATAAGGACAAGAGTTGTTCACCATTAAATTAATGGTTAAATAATATGAACAGATAACTCTAAAAAAAGAAATCCAAGCTACAACTAGCCATATTAAAAATACTCCAAATCACTAACAATTCAAGAAATACAAATTAAAACAACTCTGAAGTTCTGCTTCATATCTACCTGATTGGCAAAAATGACCAAAAGAAGGAAAATGACAATTGTTGGATATGTTATGGGTTGAGAGACACACTAATGTACTATTGGGAGAACTATGATGTGGTCTAGAAAATGAACCAGGTTAGAACTCTGGTTATTTGAGCCTCTGGTAGAGATTTGGATTCCAACAAGCAGAAAACAAAGTAATAGCATCCCAGCTGAAAACTCTGAGAATGAGCTGCTTGGTGGAGAGGAGAGTATTTCTGCTTTTGCCTTGTTCTCCTTCCTCCCCTCCTTGCCCAGAGAAGGACCTTGAAAGTTTTGAAGGGTTTGGAGGAGTTCAGATTTTCTATCTTCCCATCCATGTCCAAGAAGCATGGACAGATCAGCTGATAGCAGGGTCTACATTGAAAGCCAAGAATAAAATGGATCTAGATTTGTAGTTCTACAAAGAGCTCAGCAGAGAAGCTACACCATAACTAAGAAAAACTTCTTGAATACCATACGAAGGGGAGAAAAGGACTTCAGCCACCAAAAGCCATGGGCTATCCCTTTGCCACATGTATACTCCAAGCTAAAGCCCATTTTCCTCTGGATTCTGCACCTACTAGTGAGAGATTGTGTTGTGTGAGACTTGAATGGGATGTTTTATAACAACTATACCACCTTAATAAATATCCCTTTCTGAAAGCTACTTAAGTGTGGTTAACTAAATGATTCTCAAAGCTGATAATCCTGGTGAAAAAACATATCAGTGGGGACTTGTGAGTTATGACTTTAGAAAAGATACATGTCCCAATTCCTCAAGGGTATCTCAGACCTCTGAGGGAACATAATAGCCAGGCTATGGGGCCCCGACTCTTCAAGACACATGGCAGATAAGTGCCGCAGAGCATGGCATATATAAGAAATAGACAAAGAAAGATGACAAGAGAAACTCAGCTTCCTAAACAAATATTGAACTCATTCAAAAAGTTCTTTTTCTAAGGATAATTGTAGTTTTGTGTTTTTAGAGTATAGAACATATGAGCAGGAGTAGCTTAGTTAACTTAACAACATTAATGTATGAAGTTT